TTAAGTGATACGTAATAAGCACTTTACATCTGCTGTGTTGTCGTTAGTTATTTTTTTGTAATCTTTCGTTTAAGAATGCTTGACTTCTTATCACGAAGCTTTATGTACACAGGAAAGCATGACAGAAGTGAAAGAAAAAAAAATGCTACCAAAATACTTAAACTTACAGTCTACGACGAAGATACGTGACTCAGTCCATAGCGTCGTTACAAACCAATCACAACACTTCTCCTTACTTTGCCATAATTTGACTATTAGTTTTTTCTGTTTCTTTTCATCAATCAATGTTCTGTAGTCGAGAAATACGATCCATATATGGCTATTCACGACAATATAGAGGGCTGCACAAATACAAGTACAAGATGTATTCTAGAGTAAATATTAGCCCGATAAATTCAGAATTTGTGAATTACTTTCATTCACATCATCCATTCATTTGTAGTCATGAGTTTTTTAACAACATTCACATGCTATGGGTTCTAATCAAAATATATCTGTACGCATTGTCAACTGATAAATGCAAAATAAACGTAACGAAACTCTGATATTCATGTCTTGTGCTATCAGATACTGCCATCCGCTATAAGCGATTCTAGATACTTCACTACGTGTTCTGTCATTATTCTGTGTATTGTGTCGTTGAATTTAGGATTGCACAACTTGTACTCTTTTCTGTCATAAACTTATGTATAATGTATGGGCATAAATGAAGAGAAGACCACCACCAACACTCATATTCATATTCATAAAGTATTAATTCAATATTAGATCAAACATCAACAGAAGTCAAAGGTTTTACTCAGATATTTTTATTTGGACATTTTTCTCTATATTATTAGACAATACCATTCTTTGAGACTACAAAACTGACTACTAGTACATGAAGAATATCTTATGTTCTTTACCTATGATTAGAAAAAAAGAACTACTATTATAAACTACATATAGCAATATAACAGGAGTGCTGATGTGAGTGTTGATGTGGATCGTCTCTTCAACTAGGCTCACATTCTCAAATAGAATATGAACAGACGTCCCTGTTTCGTTGGATAAACTTAGACATTCCGAAATCGAGTTTTTCCCATATTCTTTGTTTAATAGTTAATATGTTCAAACTGTAATTTTTTTGCAGACAATATATTTGATATTTCATCGATGGTTAAAATATGAAACAAAGTGAATAGAAAAAACGCAACGAATTTTTATTTTATTTGATAAATAGCCGTTTAATTGCATTTTCCTATCATGTTTACATCGTATGTATGTCGAGCAAAACATTGGGCTGCTACTTGGTCGCACATACAAGCTTCGTACCGATCAGATAATTGCTTATCTGCACATTTCCAATTCAAATCGATCTTGTAAGACGATATTATTGAAGTTAAATCTCCATAACATTCATCATGATTTTTGCAACATTCATCAATATTATCCATGATACTGCTTCCTTTATGGCCTGGTCCACACCCACAATTGAGAGTCGACAAAACACATGAGGAGCAGGGGTGGAATGTGCTTACCAACATCCATAGCCATAGTAGTCCAACGGATTTCTTTTAGTGTAGTGATAAATAAATCTTCTAAAACCGATAATTGATCGGTAATTTGGAGATCAAGAATGAATAGGCTCTCCTGTTACTAATATTACGATAGTTGTTAAGATCAGTAGCATAATATGCATTGATTTAAACATCGTTGATTCATATGATGTCTTCGGAGAATATCCCCGGAAACTCAATTATGTCCTAGGGTAAGAGGTATAGAGATAGATAGGTATAGGAGGTATAGGAGATATAGGAGGTATAGGAGATATAGGAGATA